AAATGTACCGGAGTACAGTAAAAGTACCGAAAATTGTAACGTAAGTACAAGTACCGGAGTACTTGTAATCCGGTACAACCAGCTCTGTAAGTGAGAATATCGATTTAATTTGTATGGCGACATTGTGTTTTTTATGCACAAACTGCGTTTTACAAATTTTTATTAACTGTAAATCTAACGTTACCGTTAACTAACTTAACAAACTATCATCGGACAATTCTGAGAGGTAACGAAAGCGAAAATAGATTTTGATTTTCCCGATGGAGTCTCAGTATTACACCTACACTTCTGCCTGCCGCCATAGCCGCTTATTCGCGTGAAACGTACTCTCGGACTGGGGAAAGCCGAACGAAATATCACGAACACGACAGGTAAAATATTAACTCAGATTTTGTTTCGAGGTCTTTGATCATTTTCTCTGGTCTCAGCGAATCCTCATTTGCCCAGACCAATTCTCTAGACTAACACATTTATTTTACAATGCTTTTCTTCGATATCGATTTTCTTTCTACATTCACGATTCTGTTTTCTAGATAAATGAATTAAATGCACAGATTTTCCAGCCGCAGCAAAACCTGAAGATAGGCAGAAAGAAAGAATGAATGAAAAGAAGGAGGAAGATTATCTATCGTGAGTAGACAAATTTTAGCCGATATGCACGTGAAAAACTATTGCAGACTGAACGGCACAGATAGACAATGGTCGAGAGTACGGAATGCGCAACCTGGGCAGTTTCTATTACAACTTATTGCCGGGAGTTGCCGTAAATATCTGACAAGTTACGGAGGCAAGTGCTGATCTCTCTCTCTCTCTCTCTAACGCATGGAGGTGATATGATGATGCGGCAAGTACAGAACTTTGGGAATGTACGGATTTCCTTAAAAAACAAAGAAAAATGGAAGCACTGCAGAATGGGGTTTTTTTTTCTTGTTTAGGCACCCATCGCAAATCCGGTAGATTTGACACCTTATCGGTATAGCGGTAGAACAGGTCCAAAATCGGTATCTACCAGAAAAATCGGTAGATTTCTATTAGGCAGCCCTGCATTGAAGACTTTCAACTTTGTCTCTATGCCGAATGCTGTGTATAAGGCCAGCTCTACTCGGACTTGACTTGAGTCTGAATATAATTTTTCTCTATTAGAGTCGGACACGGGTTTTTATCTATTCGGACTTGGGTCAGAAAAAAATGTTTTATTTATTCGGACTCAGCTTCTAAGTGAGTTATGTGAGTGTTAGGAGGTTACATAATATAACTGTCGTCGGGGATTTTATGTAAAACTAGAATTTGAACTATAATTGCCTACTAGGACTGTGTAATTGTGTCAAAAGTCAAAAGACAGCACTCTCATTAGATCTACCCAATGGCAGTGTCTTAACTCCTGTCCTGCGTCTGTGCTGAGATGCGGATCTTATCAGCAACCGATTACGTCGGACATTCCGGGCAGGCCGCCGGGGTCACTCAGTGTGTACTGTTGGTGTACAGCGTGCGTGCCGGGAAACGTGTGTTTTCGCCATGAATACCGTGGGAGTGTGTTTATCTATGATGAAAATAAAGCTCTATCTTTCATAGCTTTCTATTTATAAAGTGTTACAAACACATGAATAACCCCCCCCTCACAAGCTGATAAGACATTACGAGTAGTTCCGCCCATTCGAATAACCTTTCTAGGCTCTCTTGTTGTTATGAATGACCTGAGGTTCGAAAGGGGATCATATAGGTCAATTTCCGAATGTTTTGCACTCAAATCATGGGTGAAAGCACTGACAGGTCCAAAAACCTGAAATCCCAATTAGTAAAATGCCTACGCCTGAAAATTACACACGTTGAGAAAGGTAGTCAGATAAACACACACAATAAAATGAAATACACACATTCCTTCAAGGTACATACATGTAGTACATGTACTGTTTCATCAATGCATTCCTTTGACAACAATCCATCCAATCAGGTTCTGGGTCCAGCAAAACAGCAATGTGCTATTCCTGGACGTTAATTTTTTCACAGATGTAGTAACTAACACTACAATTTATCTTATCACAATCCCCACTGAGACACACATTTAACTGTTACGCCGGATTTTTCTAAAATCTTACTCTTGCCTTCTTTTCTGTCGTGGGAAGCACTCATTAGATTTTTGTCAGCAGAAACTTGGAGCTCTACTGTCCGAAATGTCTATGTTGAATTAAGCAGTTGGACTCACCAAAAGTTGTCTTGGTTCTTTGCTCACACGTGTTATTTCAACTATAATTCATTGGAAGTAGTATTGATTTGGCATTCCGACTTAAGACATTCTCAAGATCTACTTTCGCCAAAACATGCTTTGTCTGAGTTTTGGTTAGTTTAGTTTTAGTAGAGGTTTTAAGGCACTCGCAACTGCATAAGGTCATATGAGCGCCAAAAGATTAGAGGTGTTACAAGAGAGTAACAAACATAAAAAAGAAGATAGGGAGATAAGGACGATAGACGTTTGATAGGAAAGAAGAAGCAAACCACACCACAGCCAACCGCCCACCGAGTTTTGGTTAGTCGGGCCCATCATCAAAACCCGTCAGTAAAACTGTTTCAATTGCGCGTTCGCAACACGTGACATGACTTCGGCAGCAAGTTCCGCGTGTGTCGGGGACCATCCATTGACGGGGTCAATTTAAGTTCATGCACACTGGTTGAAGCGTCTTTCGAGACTTATCCGAGGGAGGGGGGGGGGAGGAGTAAAACACTTGGACTAGGAAACCTTGACATGATACTTCAGGATTTTTTTTTTAATGATAAAACACATACAGGCACGCGCACGCGTTCACACACACACACGCACACACACATACAACACACACATGCACGCGCACAGAGGGAATATACATGGATATACTGTGAAACTCCGATTCAACGAGGAGATAGATTCCCCGTTTTTTTCCATCTTTAAAATCAATAAAAATAACCCGGATTCAATGAGCAATTAAATCAGCGTGCTCGGATTCAACGCGGTCACTTCCAGGGTGAACAGCAACGGCAGACGTGGCTTCGTTCATTTTTTTCCGACAACAAACTTTATCTATTCCCGGAAACCTTCCATTGCACCTGCATCGTGTACTATTATTCACTTAGCTGATGGCATGCGACCAATCAGTGGCCTTTTTTCATACCAACAATTGCTTTGTGGGCACGCGCACGTGTCTACTCTAGCGTGTGTCGGGGTCAGATGGGGGGCTTGCACACGTGTGACTGTGTGTGCATGTCGGGGAGGGGCACCAGCGGTTCGGGCGCTGAACGTCGCAGATAGTATGATACAAACACGTCAGTCTTTTTCTTCCCCTCGGCAACTGATCATTATTACAATGATAAGCTGGTCTTGATGTAGATCTACGTAATGAACTGTGGGCCGGTCTATGGAATCAAAAGTTGCCATATGTTAGGCTCTACACAGCTACACAACTTCGAGATGACACAGACGTGCATTTATTTGAACGAATCGGTCTTTTTTTTTTTTTACACAACTCATAATATGCAGGCATTTCAGGCATTACTTGTTACTTCTCTTTACACATTACTTACTCAGTGCCAGTACTATAATTATCTACACAAAACCTCATGTTTGCTATAACGAACACTCGAATTCAACGAGATTTTAGGTCAGGCCCGGCGACCTCGTTGAATCCATTACAATGACAAACTATACTATTACTAACATTATTTCATTTCATTACAGCTTTCAGTTAAAAGGCTATTAAAAAATGAAACAATAACAATCCCCGCGGGAGCCTAGAAAAATCGGCCAGCGCTCTGGGGCAGGTCACGTACAGTCACTCTCTTACAATAACAATTCACAAATTATTTTCTATCATCCGTTCTCAACACCCAGGTAGACCTAAAAATCCATTGCATTCTCAGACCGGGTGAGAATAATATTCATTTTATTCTCACTGAGAATACCAATATAGATTCTAATTATTCTCACCATTGGCCCAAATGAGCCATTTAATGCGTTGTATTTCATACATGGTATTGTCCCAACTTGTTCTCTAACTTCTTAGCTATTGTTCATCTTTTTATTTTTAGCAATAGATTGGAAAACTATACATTCTCAAT